AAGCAATAGGTTTACGTAATTGACTGTCTAATTTTTTAAATATTTCGGCTTTTAAATTATCTATACCAGATGCTTTATTCAACTTCAGTGATGTCACATGGTTCCTATTTTCGTCCTCAGTCACAGGTAATATTTATTATACAAGGGAAAAAGTATTAGATTTTAACTCGAGGTTGTCAACAAAAAATACTTACTTTTTTCTCGGGAAAACACTTTATTCCTGCGAAACGGAGAAAAAAGTAATTTCATAAAAAGTTACATTTTGTTACCTGCCAAGAGAGATAAAATGTCAAACTTTTGCATCTCACAGAAAATATACATTTTTTTCCCCGATTGGCATTAAATTTCACGTTTAGTGACACTTTTCGATCATAGGAGTAACACTTTTAATGCCTAGGTATTAAAAATTTACTTTTGTTTCTTTTCTCTTTTGAAGTATTGCTCTGCATGAGCATCCGGCCAAAAAAGCTACTCTAATAAATTAACTGCAAAGTCACTATAAGTATATTTGTATAAGAATAATTGAAGGTATATTTAGTTTTAAAAACAACGATTAGAATAAATATTAAAAATGCCTGAGTTGTATCTGTTATACTTAAAAGAGGTTTTCATTTTAATTCAATTTTTTTAAACACACTGTATAAACAGTCGGGGAAAAAAATATATTTTTCATACGGCAGAAAAACAGATTTACTGCCTTGACTATCGTGGCGCGCGGCAACTTTCTGTCTCATCTGTTAAAGTGCTACTTTCTGCTCTTAATACACAAATAGCTATTTTGTTACAATAATTTTATAAACTTTTACTTAGCTACTAGCTATATGCTGATAAAGTGTTATTGCCCTCATCATAAATGAATCGTGCTAACAAGTAGTCAAAGAATTTCTCATATTTTTCATCTTTTAACAGTTACCAAAATTAGGTACTATAACAAAAATATTAAAGTCCAGCCCAGAACATCTCCCTACTCCTTCCATCCAGTTTTTTCGGTTTTGTCAAAATTCGCGCAGCGACAAATGCTTTCTAAGTTACCTCTACCCTTTCTAACCTCTTTGTTAAAATCTAGACACATTAGTCGAAGTGCGGCGTTATGTGGTGGATATAATAATATAAGTCACAGTAATGTCGTTTTACTCTTCTTGACTTATGTACTTATTCCCACAACACGCAGAATTACCCCCTGTGATTCCATATTTTCCTGTTGTTAACTACAACATAATGTTTAGTTTATGTTCAAAATTAAAAATGTTGAAAAGTTAAATAAATCAATTATTGAAATTCAAAACCACTATAAAACTAAACCAACTCAGTTAATGTAGTAAATATTAAAATTAGCAATTAAAATTTCTGTTACATATATTTTTTACGACTTTAATAGGCACTCAACAAAATTGTACAATCGATAAGACTTATAGATTTAGATTATTGCGAATAAGCGAATATTATCAAACCAACGAAATTTAAAATCTAAGGTTAGATTAATTAATTACCGCCAAATGCCAAATTCTTCAACGAAATATAATTAAAATTTCTAATTGGCTGGGCATGTTTGCATATTAATGAATGCTATTGAACGTAACACAAGTTTTTTTTTTAATATTGTTTACAGGTCGTATAAAAGTATTTTAAATATTAACAATAGTAGTTTGTGCAACAAGAATGGATATGATGGCCATATCGCACCAAGACGAAATTTGAGTGCGATATGGACACTCGAATTGTACAGTATAGTTTTTCGATGAACCACTAACTAAAATTTACAAATATTAATTATTTTAGATTATTAATATAAAATAACTAATTTAAAAAGTTTTTTATGACTTTTACTAATTTATAAAATAAAATAAACAAAAAAAAATTAATTTACTTTTCCCAATTCGAGATTTGAACTCGAGTCTTCCACATCAAAGGCAAGTGCGCTGATCTCACCACCATGTATGTGCTTAATATTTTTGCTTTAATACTCCTAATTAAACTGACTTCATATAGTTTTATTTAAATTAACAAATTAGTAAAAATGCTATTATTTGTCGATTCTACACTCATTTTAATGTATATTTAATCTGAATAAATAAAAAATATACTGACCATTAGTTTGACATAATTAATTGTCACTTATTTTAAATTTTAAAAATAATAGCAGTCGGTTGACCAAAATATGAACTATAATTGGTGGATTTAATTTTTTTTGCAGTGTTCTCACTTCCTGGAATGGATATGAAATATATTCGTTCAGTTGAACGCAATAGCATACTTTTTCATTTTGTGGTCCGTGCGTAGATAAGCTAGTATCTATCTGGATGTAAAAAAAATAATTTTTATTTTTAAATGAATACAATCCTAAAAGTAATATAAATAAAATAATAATGAATACCTATACCCTTTATTTTTAAACGACTTCAAAAAAGAAGGAGGTTCTCAATTCGTCGCGATATTTTTTTTTATGTATGTTCAGCGATAATTCTTTAAAACACGGTGTCCGATTTCAATAATTCTTTTTTGTTCCAAAGGGGGTACTTCAGGGGTGGTCCCATATAAATTTCTTCAAAATCTAATAATTGGGTCCATGAGAAAATCCTCAAACTCTTCATTTTTTCATGTATGTTTAGCGATAATGCTTTACCACCTTATCCGATTTATATAATTCTTTTTTTGCTAGTAAGGGGGTACCTCAGGGGTGGTTCTATATAAATTTGGTTAAGAAGTGGTGCACGTTTTTGAAGTCGGTTTTTCAAATTTTTAATTTCTAATACTTGTTATAAGTCATTTATCACTGTCATTGTCAGTGGCATACAAATTACGTCACCAATAATATAGCATATTAATGTATGGTTATATTACTTTGTAATTTTTGGTTATAGTCTATGAACCAGCAGTCAATGTGAGTAATGTGTTGAACAAAACACAAGGCTGAAAATTTGTAGGTTCATATTTTAATACCAGTTGAATAATGAAATAATTACCCGACAGTGATACGAAGTTACGACACATATCTTTAAATTTTTTAAATTGTTAAAATTAGTATGCTTCTACAAAACTGCAACGATAATATGCTTTAAATTGGATGTCTTTAAATTAAATAAAAATCCTAGGCGTTTTTGTTAAAATAGCATCAACTTGGTACATACTTACAACCATTAAACCGCTTGGCATTTTTTTAGTGGATACATATGTAAATTAAATCATATTAATATTTTTTGCGCAAAAATAATTTCCTGAGTGTAGCAGAATTTTATGCAAATAAATAAAAGGTAAGAAAAACTCGAAATCAGTCTCACCTAAATATTTTATGTGAGACTGTGAATCCCTTGTGAGAATCAAAAAGTCTTATAAAAGCAAAGATACTATTATTTCATAGGTCTTTTAACTAACACTATACAAAAATAAAACGAATGCAATGAATACCGAAGTATAAAGCACAAACCATAAAACATATAAGTCAATGTCACAAATGACGTTAAGATGGTAACGATATGGTGCCCGTGATACCGCAACAGCATGCACATAGCAACTCCTTTTCAGAGCCTGAAACTTAAAGGCAATGGACTGTACGGTTTTGTCAAAATAAACCTAAACCAACAAAAATGGTTCCTTTATAAAGCGTTTAAAAATAAATGATAGTTATTTTTTTCGGAAAAACGGGCCATATTGCAACTATTGCATTAGAGGATAGAAAGACTGCTTATTCTGACTGGTATATCACGTTTGCTAGAAATTATTGCTGAAATCAAAAGAAACAACATGAACCAACGTAAATCATTCTTCATCATGACAATGCAAATACTCACATAATACGACAAACTGTGACGTTTTAAGTATTTTAGGAAACAATATCATTTTCCGAAAACAGTGATCCTCGTATATCTGAATAAGTAAAAGTATCATCCTAATTTTTTTTAAATATTTGACTAAAAAACAAAATTAATTCGTGGGTACTATGAAAATTTAATGAAAAGCCACACCTTGCCGTGAATTTTAAATCGCACAGTCCGCTCTAAATATTTATGCATCGGAAAAATCTGTTGAGAGTTTTCGGAGAGCTCACTTCACTAATAGAATATTAATTATAACAAACTACCGGGGGTGAAATTTGACGTAGCTTTTAGAGAGAGAAATCGAGTTTTCCAACTTTCTGCGAAACTTTTCGCTTGCCGAGACTAAAAATATCGGGAGAGAAAAAGTGAAAAACAAAGTTTCTTAGTTACGGGAAGTGTTATCTATTTTGATCTCCTATAATAGGATTGCGATTTCGCGAATAAGATTGATGTGATCAATTTGTAAGATTTAAGAGAATCTTATTTTTTGTCAATGTAATATTGTTCGTTAATATTATTTGCTTTCGGTTCTTTCTAAATAAAAGCAAATGTAAATACGATTTAAAATTTTAATACCAAATAATTAACGCTGTTGCTAGGTACACGCTAAAGTGTACACAAATCAAAAAATTATATACACGCGAAACGTCGTATTGCTGTGGTGGGAGGTGTTGGTGTGAATGCGTCTTGTTTGTATTAATTTACGCCGTGACTAGCACAGTAGTATTTTATAAACCTTAGAAGCAAATTTCACATACATAAACAAATAATAATGTCGTGATAACAAGAAAAAGAAGCAACGACTTCTCGTAGGGTGGCGGCTTCGCCGCCACAAAAATAATTCAATCCATACCTAGCTACGACCAGCATAAACACCAACGGCCTGCACACAGCTCACCTACTCTGTCAAGACGTTTTGCGTGTATATAAATTTTTGAATTGCGTACAAGTTAGCGTGTACCTAGACACTGTGAATAATTACGAATTTAATTTATTTATGTAGAGCTGCCTATTAACAGGAGGCGTAATTCATAAATATAATATTGTCTAGGATAGACTCGCTTCATACTGTCTAAACCTAAGCTTATCCATTTATTTTATTTTATTATGAATTACGGTTAAAATCAGAATACATTTTTTATTGGTGTGTTCTACTTTAATTACATTTACAATAATTTGTTGCAGCTGGCTGTGAAAACGCTTGCTCAGGTCATGGTCAATGTACACTCGAAGAAGGCCTCTACAAATGTGTCTGTATCCCTGGCTGGGCTGGTTCAGATTGCAGTATACCTCTAGAACAAGATTGCCAAGATGACATGGACAACGACCACGGTGAGTAAATTTATTTTCATCTTAGAACTATCGTAATAATTCCATAGGTTGGCTAAATTGATGACCGATAACTAATACTTAAAGCAATTGGATTTAATTTACAGAATGTAAAGATAAGTTTAATACATTAAGTGTAAGGGTTAAAGAAAAGGTCCTTTATTTTTGACTTGTGAGAAATAAAGGACCTTTTCTTTAACCCTTACACTTAATCCCTACTACTCACATATGGCTACCCTCACTCCAAAAAAAAGTTTAATACAGTACCAAGAAAATATGAGTATTCTAAAGGCGGGTACAGATCTGAGCACGTACGAGTATGAGGCAAGCCGAGGACGCATGAGCATGCAGATGTGGACGGGCTTTCGAGGCGCAGCAAATTGCCTCGTTGAGTGTGCCGTACGGTCTCGCCCCGATCCGTTTGTTGGGAAGCAATGCACAGTACGTGCTTAGTCTGGACGGGAATTTTTACCATACAGCATTGTACAGATTATAGCGAGTTTTCAGGATTTATTTTGCATGGAGTGGAACTAGGAAAACGTTTTGCTTCTCCTGGATTTAAGTAATCGGCGTGATATCGTAAGAGAGCAAAACTTTATTTTAGTCACCATCTTTTTAGGGTGATATCTCGGAAAGGGGTGGGCTGAGGAAATTTTGTTATAGGAAAGAGCCATCTTAATTTCATACTAAATTTTGTCGCATGAATTTAGAAACACCCTGTATAAACTTTTTTTTTTGGCATAGGCCTGTATAAACTTAAATCTAAATAAACACAAATTTAAACAGACACGGGTGCATCCTAAAAAAAACTTACATAAGAAAAAAAGGATGCACCCATTTCCGTCTTTAATAATTACTGCGCAAATTAATTTGACAGAAAGATACTTCTAATAGATACAACAGAGCAATTAAGAATATCTATATCATCTTTAATGTTCGAATAGTTTAGGATAATTTGAAATAAAGGCGATGCTTTGTATATGTTAGTTCTTATGTGCTTGTTGATATAATAGTTGATTTCTTCGGGAATTAACTCTAGGGACGTGAAAGTTTAACATTTCCAAACATGAAATACAATCCACCTTGTTATTTAATAACTTGAACAGAAGTATCACTGAATGCCAAGCTCTTCTTTTTAAAAGACTTCATATATTGAAACGGGACGGTGGTGTAGCGGTCTATCGCGCTTATATTCATTTATAGGCAAGTTTATGAGTCTGAGACTGCTGGGTTTCGAATCCCAGACCAGACCAAGTGGATTTTTAATTAAAATTGCATGGTTCGGTTTAGGATTTGATGTGTGGCGTATTAATAGAAATTCAATTTCTGTTGATATGACATGCAGATTAAAAAAATTCGCCATACATTACCGTCTCGATGATGGTGGGTGAGGTTTTCCGGGTTTTCCTCACCTGTAAGTCAAATGGCACCATCAATCATCTTTAAGTCGCCCCGGAGCGCCACATCAAATAATAATAATAGCCATCCCTTCCCCTACACAAGTCATTCAGTCGACTTCAGGGGTTGAAATTCACTCGTAAGGGGGTGAATTAGGGAGAGTATTATTATTATATTATTATTATTATTAATAACTTTGAGGAAGTTCTCTTATGAGATAGGTACCATCACTTAAAAGACAAGCTGATTTAAAAAATCTTCGTTGAACTCTTCCAAATGGGTAATGTGATTGGAGTATATCGGACTCCAAACGATACTGGCATATTCTAATTTTGACAAAACCAGCGAAGAGAAAAGTATTTTCATCGTTGAAAATTCATTGAATAATCTCATATTCCTTATAACAAAACTTAAAATTCGATAAGCAGAAGCAGTTGTTTTTTCAATGTGCGATGTAAACGTTAATTTTGGATAAAAAAAAAAACTCCAAGATCAGTTCTAGTCGATTTAATGTAGAATTTTATAGGTTATAATTATATAGTATTGGTGCTTCCTTTTTAGTTAATGTCATTACATTACATTTTTTAACATTTAACGGTAACTTATTTCTTTTGCACCATTCGTTTAAACGGTTAAGATTTTCTTGAAGCAATAAACAATCATTATAACTAGAGATTTCATAAAAAAAAATTAGGTCATCGGCAAACAATAGATTTGTGACGCTCAAATTACAAACAATATCATTCATAAAAAGCAGAAATAATAAAGGTCCTAAAACCGAACCTTGCGGGACGCTGGATGTTTGTTTGAAATTCATTGATTTATTATACTCTAAGCACTGAACATAAAGGTAACGATCTGATAGATATGACTGTAAAACATTTAATAGGGAGCCATGAAATCCAAGTGCTGAAAGTTTACTTATTAGAAGTTTGTGATCAATCCTATCGAATGCTTTAGAGAAGTCAGTGTAAATAACACCAATCTGATTTCTTCTATCAAAAACTTCAGAAATACAATGAGTTATACAGATTAGATTAGTTACAGTAGAGCGACCAGCAATAAAACCATGTTGGGTTGGACTAATGATTTGGCGAAATTAAATGAAAGGAAAGTAAGCACAAATATTTCAAAAACTTTAGAGAAATTATTCAGAATTGTGACAGGGCGATAGTTGGATATATAATTTTTGCTGTCATTTTTAAAGATTGGACTAACTCTAGCTAACTTCCACGTCTCAGGAAATTGTTGAGTTTTAAAAATAAGGTTAAAAATAATAGTAAAAGGTTTGCAAAATACCTGTGCACAGTCTCTCACAAGAAATGCTGGAACATTATCCGATCCACTTGTGGGCTTAGGTTTCAATTTTTTTAGAGCAGTTAGTACTTCAGCTTCCGTTACTTGGGTAATGTTAACTATATTGTTATAATTTTGGTATTCTAAAGAATCTGTAACAGTATTATCAGTTGGTGTATAATTTCCTGAAAAAAATATTGGAAACGAATCCACTATATCTTTAGGTTGATATAAACGCTTGTTTTCGAAATTCATAGTGTTGGGTATCGTTGAAAGATCACCCTTTCTGAAATTTATAAATGACCAAAAAGGTTTAGAATCAGCCTTAATATTTTCTTCAGAACATTTCACATAATTACAGCAAGCTAACTTAGTTAGCAAAAATATACACGCACAGTTGACTGGATGAGATTTTTACGTTTTTGTGGTCAAAAATGTGCAGAAAAGTATTAAAAAGTGGAGATAAGAAAATTTTCTGACCGACTACTGAGGCTCCACAGGTAAAGGGTATCATTAATTGGTAAAAATTTATACGTAAAGAAAAAACAATTTATTTCATTTTAAATAAAAGCCATGTCTGTTCCAACATATGTGAAAACTATAATATTACGGTACAAATAATGCGTTCTACGCAAAAATTGTATACAGTCCATAATTTGTACCGTAATAGTATGGTGTATCGTGTAATATTGAAGAAGGGAATGTAAATCGCTATTCTCTTCATCGCGCTACAGTAGAGACTAAAATGGGCAGACGTTGTATATTGGTATAATAGAGTGTTGGATTATTCCTCTTCTGTTATATTGAGTGAGTATTTTATTAAATATTATAGATTGTAATTTTAAATAAATCAATAAAGGTTTGACATATCAACTTAATTCTTGCTTTATTTTGAAGCTTGGACAATGCACTTATGTTCGGAATAAGATATCGTTCAAATGTCCACTACGGCTTCGTTGACACTGACGCACCCGATCGATTTAATTTCTGATCACTCTGTACAATAATTTCGGTTGTATTTTGCCAGTAACTTGACACATATTCTCTTGCAAGTAATCCAAAGTCTGTTGGCACAGACTCGTACTTTCACATAGCCCTAAAGAAAATAATCTAGGGGTGTCATATCACATGACCTTGGCGGCCAATTCACAAATCTTTGTCTTGAGATGATCCAATTGCCAAACCTATCCCTCAGCAAAACGAGTGTGGCATCGGCTGTATGGCACGTAGTGCTATCTTGTTGGAATCACATCTCTTCAAAATTAATGTTCTTAAGTTTGACCATATAAATTCGAGTTACATGGTCCTATATCAGTTGGAAGAAATAAGGACCAATGACTCCACCATGTCGTAAAACGCGCCACACATGAGCTTTTCGGAATGCAATGGAACTTCATGTAGCACTTCTGGGTTGTCCTCTCATCACTAACGACAATTTTGCTCATTAACAAAGCCATTTAAACAAAAATGTGCCTCGTCTAAGAAGATGATTTTTTGGCCAAACTCAGTCACGAGTTTCAAATGCTCAAAAACCCAGTCAGCAAACTCTCGATGCAATCTGTGATCGTTTAGCTTTAGTTTTTGAGTCAATACGACTTTATAAGGATACAACCTCAGATCTTTGCGTAATATTCTCCAAGTTGACGTCTTAGAAAGACCCAGTTGTTGTTATCATCGTGAAATCGACAAATTTGGATAATCGACAACACTTGCCGCTGCAGCTGCAATGTTCTTCTCACTTCGCACGTTTCTTCGTCTTTTTGGGGGGTTATTGTCTTGTAATGTTAATGTTTAAACTTTTCCATAGTTCGGCGTATAACCTGCGCAGAGTACCGATGACGGCGACCCAATTCTCGAATACCCACAACTGTGCTACCACTTTGGTAATATTATTTATTATTTCCAACTGATCGAGAGAAACTGTGCACTATACTAAATATAGTAATACATTAGAAACCAAGAAATCTATATTTGAAAAACAATCACACATATTTAAAGACCCTGTATTTTTAACTGGTCAACTACTAATGCTATGCTTTACATAATCAATTTCTATCTGTTCAAAGGGTGTAAGAATTGCCACACTTCTTATCATTTAAAATATATTCCAGATGGCATGGTCGACTGCTCCGATAGCGAATGCTGCTCACATCCGAGTTGCTCTGACCATATAATGTGCATCGCCAGCAACGATCCAGTTGAGGTTTTGCTTCGCAAGCAGCCACCTTCAGTGACCGCTTCTTTCTACCAACGAGTGAAGTTCCTCATTGAAGAAAACTCAGTACAATCCTACGCACACATGGATGAGTATACGGAAAGGTAAGGAGGATATATAAGTATACCATTTTTAGAGCTTTTTCATCGAGTGCCCTTTATTAGGGATTATCAGGTCGATAATTATATAGTGTCTGAATTTTCGGAATAGTAAATCTGATTTTAACCGTTTTTCTCTGGGTTAACATTGTGTTTTCTCAAGTAATAAAGCATCCTAGCCCTTAATAATTCTATTTTTAACTTTGATTGCAGGAAAAATGTATATTTCTCGAAAACTATTTAAAACTTCTCGAGTAACTTAACAAGGAATAAAAACTGTGTTTATGAAATTAAAACTTTATATTTAATTCTCCTTTCATGCTGAATAATTCTATTTTTATTTACAATTGTACTATTTCATGTAAATAGAGGTAATTTTCTTTAAGAATATAGAAACTTTTTATGGAATATTTCATGACTCGAATACATAAAACATAAACTGCTGTGAGAAAATTATGGGTATTTTCTTGCAAACATGCCATAAAGGCTAACAATCGTTTTGTAATTTTATCAGGAATAATATCTAGTAATTAGGAAATAAGACGAATTATTGTGTTCGCTTTTAAAAGTGAATTATATTATAAAGAATATTTCTAAAGAAGTTTTAAGTTAGTCAATATTGAATTGCTTTTTTAGAACTAGTTTTGAAGATGTAGATTTTTATACAGTATGCAGTAATTCATATGTATTCCTATTATAAAATGTGCCGCACATGAATTGATATAAATAGTACAATTCTTTTATCTTAGATTTTTCCAAATGGTTTGTTAGTTAAAAATCATTCGTAACCAAATATATTAGGAGAAAAAATAATTAGACAGTTCATGCAGTGTTAATGCAATAGATAATACTTTAAAATTTGAATGAACTCTGCCAATGACCGCATACTAGAAAAAACCTGTTATTATGGGAGATATTTAAATTCTTTAAAAAAGATTTTATGGAAAAACAAAAAGTTGTTTTACAATTTAAAAATCTAAAAAGTTAGATTTTTAAATTATAGGTGTCAGAGCATTATTAAAATGTTTCAATTGCTATAATATGTAGTTTTTCTAAAGCATATGTTTTATTTAGGCATAGTCCTAATTGAAAAATGTGTAGCGCCAATATAGAGCTTTTTCTTTGTATGTATGTGGTTCTGAGATCACTTCGAGTTCACGAATTCGCTTGTTCTCGTTCATTGTCATCATCGAGGTTTTCAGTTAAAAGACGTTGAAGAAGTCCCTGGAAACACGAAGATGAAGAAGAATAGATGAGGAGGGATGTTGAAGGCTTTTTCACTCTAAAACAAAGAAGTGACATAGAACCAAAGGAGACATTAAACAAGCCTCTGGAAACACGAAGACAAAGAAGAGGAGCTGAAGGTGTAACGTGGGGCCATCGACGATAAAAGTATTAAAGTATATCTTTGCTACTATTGGCTGGATTTAAATCCACAAACGCCATTCAACTAGAACTGTCATTTGGATATTATTTTTAATGAAAAATCATGCGAAGTAGCATTTCCAAAAAGGCATTAACGTATATCTCTGCTGTTATTGCTCCGAATCGAATGAATCGAACAAAATTCAACTTGAACTGTAATTTAGCTGTAATTGAAAATAAAAAATCATGCACAATGATATCGTTTAAATGGCTATATCGTGTATATCTGTCATTACTGGTTAAATCGTTATCGTCGTCATCGTATATCATCGGTCGTATAGAACGAATCATGGTGTAGATATAGGTTCATGTATTTTTGAAAGTGTTACTGCGCATTATTTATAAATGACAGGTAAATAGCAGTTCAAGGTATGTGCCGTTTGCTCCGTTTGAATCGAACGAATCATGGTAGAAATATACGGTAATCCCTTTTTATCGATGCTAGTGGGCATGATTTTTCAACGTTAGTAACAGCTTAATAATAGTTTAGGTTGAATGCTATTTGGCCCATTCGATTCGGGCCAATAATACCGGAGCTATACGTCGATGCTTTTTTGACAATCCAGCTGCTGCACATCCCTCATCGTCGATGGCCCCACGTCACTCTTTCAGCTCCTCTTTGTCATCTTCGAGTTTTCAGAGGCTTTTTCAACAGCTTCTTTGGACCTTCATTACTCCTTCATTTACTATTCTTGGTCTACGATAATGATAAACAAGAACATGTCAACTCGATGGCCATGTTACCAAAATCGTCTAGTAACCCCACATTTACATTACTAGCCTAAATTAACATATTTATTTATATATTTTTTGGTTAGTTTAAGAAACAACTTTTTTTTCTGAATAAACATGTTACTTCCCGTTTAAATAATGAATTATTTGAATAATTTACTTTAAATAAAGTTCCAAAATATATACAATTTTATATCAAAATTTTTTTTAAATAAGAAAATTACACTAGAAGACAAATTTCTAGTAAGAAAAAAATGTATTTGTAATGTAACGCCAACTGTAATTTAAAAAACTCAAAAACGGTTTGTACTTAAAACCTAAGGTACGAATAGCTTACTCGCTTTTGCAGAATTTTAGAGCAATTAGAACTGAACTTAATGAACTGACGATTTTCATCAGAGTCACTTGGGTTCGGTGTATAATTATGGATACAACAGTTTTTAATAATACACCATGTACCTTCGTAAAACAGCTTAGATTATAAAAAATTGACGATATTACTTATTATAGAGAAAAGTGGATGTATAAAATTAAATAATTGTGTATAAAAAAAAAACTATCAGACACAACTTGATTTATCGATCTGGTAATCCCCGCAACTGGGCAAAAACAGCCACGCTGTTGATCTACTATCGCGCTATATCACAGGATTTCAGCTCTGCACGTTTGAGCGGATTTTGGGGAGCATTACCTCCCTGATTTTTTGCTCGGGCATCGCACTCCCGTAGCGGAGCTCTCTCCCAATTTGACCCTAACGACCCTACCTCACCTCTCCCCGCATCGACGTACAGTACTTTCTTTTTTGAAAAAAACCGAATGAAATACGAAAGTATTGGTGCGAGGGTGCGGAATATCATTGTGTCTCGTCTACAGATCCCTGTGTTCGTCTATACCTGATCCTTAGCCCGAGCTGTCGCTCAGAATTGCGAATTTTGTCCTCAACAAGGCCTCTTCTGAGAGTGAGGAATATTAATGGTTCGGTTATGCGATTTTCTGCACATTTATTAAATAAACTACAAATTGAAATTTTATCAAAATTAATAAAGAGAAATTATACAGTAGCAATAGTAGCACTTTTTTAAAACAAAGAAGATTATTTTTGTTTATTGTAGGTAAATTCTAATGGTAACTAGAACAAAAAATGTCTCCTATTTTCTATTTTTTTTTATTATATTTTCGTTTCTTCTATGTATGACACTATTTAAAATAAAAGATTTGTTCATATTTGGAAAAACCCTTACTCGGGTAAAATAAGCATTGTTTTGTTAGAATAGCAATTTTCTGTTGATATAAGGAATATTCTGTTAGAAAAAGCGATGTTCTTATAGAAAAAAAAAACCATTATATTAAAATAACTGACATTCCATTAGAATAAGCGATATCTTGTTTATTGAAATAAATGATAATTCTATATATAAGCATAAAATATATTCTGTTAGTATAAAACATGTTCTATTAGTACAATAGTGTTCGGTTTGAATAGGTAATGTTCTACCGGATTGGCTATACTACGATTGAAATAAACGTTATAAGATCCATAAAAAAGAATGTTCTATTAAATTAAACCATTTTGGAAAGAAAAAATGATTCGACTAAATAAATGGCTAGTCTTAACGTGATTTATAGTCTAGATAGTTATTGACTATGTTGAATGAATGAACTTTCAACCCAAAAAAATTCTATTCACAGTAACCGATTATTCGATTTTTCTTTTTTGCTCAAAATTATGAACATAAATGTATTATAATAGATTAAAAACTATTCTAATAAATTAAGAGACTTTCATTTCTGATACATGGTGTTTTTTGAGAACAAAAAGTATAAAAAAGTACTGTTTGTTTATAATATGCTATATTCTAAAAGTGTTGTTCTGCTAAAACAAATGGATTTTTTTCTTGTTTTACCAGAGTAAGCGAAAATAATCAGGTATTCTGTTAGAATAAGCGATGATTTATAGAAATAAATATAATAATAGAAGACATGTTCTTTTATTAAAGCACTGTTCGATTATAACACTCTAGTATTAAAATAATTAATATTTTAGAATAATCAATGTTATGTTAAAATAAAGGGTGTTCTATTAAAATAGATAATTTTAATGAGAACAAATATTGACTGAATAAGTGGCTGTTAAAACAACCGATTTTCTGTTAAAATAAATTATCTTAAATGAGTTAACTCAAATTTGGTAGATTTTTACAAAACTTTTATTTTAAAAAAATGATAATTAAAAACACTACAAATGACATGTTTCAAAGTACAACTTCTTTTTCAAATGTGACTAATTTACAATTCGATGTCCAATGTATATGCGAAGTAATTTAACCAAACAAAGTAATTAAGAAAATACATCAATAACATAACAAAATAAACTGACTATTTAAAGTAAATAAGGGTACTTAGGTAATTATGATATCAATCAGATAACAATAAGATAGTATCATTACCGTGATTATCTCACAGAAAACTAGGAAATAAAGAAGAGTTATTAATATCTAATTGATCATTTATTAGGTTATCTAAATTTTTAAATCTATTTATTTCAAGTGTTTCTAAATGGTTTAGTTTAGTGCCCTTATTTTCTATATGTAAAATTTCAAAGTTATCTGTAAAAGAATGATTTTCAGCCAAAATATGATTTGAGTAAGTAGAATTATTTTAGTTTTTTGTATAGCTATTATAATGTTCGGAATAGCGCTTTTTGAAAGTACGGCCTGTTTGACCAATAAACAATTTTGGACAACTACCACAATTTAATTTATATACCCCCGATTTATTATTAGGGATAATTTTACCCTTACTGTTTTTAATATATTTCCCAAGCGTATTATTGGTTTTGAAAGCTACGTTAATATTTTGGTTTTTTAAATATGATGATACCTTTTCACTAGGAGCTCCTATACGAGGATATATCAGTATATAACGAGAGTGGTGCTATAACTTCTTTCAGAGGTAATATTTTATAACCCAAAAAATGAGACATAAAAGCCTTATATTTAATGTACTACCCCGCAAGTAGGCTTTGATTTAACTTTTGACATTTGTTACAAATTAATTATTGAATTGTCAGTGTTTTGCGTACCCATCGAAAAAATGAAAGTGGAGCAAAGATACGCGATAAAATCTTGTGTTCGATTGGGTAAAACACCAACTGAAACTTTTGAAATGATTAAAGGTGCATATCTAGATAATAGTTTATCACGATGTAGAGTGTTTGGGTGGCATAAAAAGTTTAAAGACGGTTGTGAATCAGTTGAAGATGAACCTCGTCCCGGTCGACCACAAACTGCGAGAAATGACACAAAAATTGCAGAAATTAACGACTTGATACAAAATGATCGCCGGATTGGCATAAAACGAATTTCTGACAATGTTAATTTGTCTTACTCAAAAAATTATTCATGAAGATTTAGAGTACCGGAAGATCGCGGCAAGATGGATTCCAAAAGTGATGACCGATGTACAAAAAGCGAATCGAGTGACAATTTGTCAGCAGTGGAAAAGGCAATTGAAACGTAACCCACAGTTTTTAAATAATGTGGTTACATGTGACGAAAGTTGGTTTTATCATTACGATCCTGAATTGAAGTCTCAAAGTATGCAATGGAAGCATAAAGGCAGCCCAAGACCGCAGAAGGCCAAAAGTGCTAAAAGCGCTGGTAAAGTGATGCACCTGATTTTTTTTTGATAAATTTGGCGTTATTTACGATCACATTGTACCTAGAGGGCATACAGTAACATGAGAGTACTATTCTAATGTACTTCGAGGACCTTTAAAGGCAAAATTAAAGAAAAAAGGCCGCTTTATCAGGACTTTGGCTGGACGCTCCATCACGACAATGCTCCGGCTCATAGATCAATGAATTGTCAACGAACAATTGAAGAATTAGGGGTTGAAATTATGGTTCATCCCCCCTACTCTCCTGACCTTGCTCCATGTGACTTCCGTTTGTTTCCTGAAGTCAAAAAAGAATTGAGAGGTAGAAGATTTGAGTCGGATTTAGAGCTCAACAACGCTGTGATGGGTATACTAAACAGACTATCAAAAAATGGTTTCTCAGAAGTTTATGATAAGTGGATTAAACGATGGGATAAGTGTATTCAACAGAATGGAGAGTACTTCGAAGGATAGTTGTTGAATTTTTTTTAAATAAATGTTTCGTTGTTATACTATAGCACCAGTCTCGTTATTTTCTGATACATCCTCGTATATGTAAGAGTCTTATATCTGCAATTTTGATCTTTAATTATGAGATAAACTTGTTGAATAGCATGTTTAAAAAGTTTTTTCCCTAAAATGTTATCTACTAACTTTGAATAAAAATTATTGTTTACTGCGATTTGATTAATGATATTTAATTATTTTGTGAAGTTCTCTTTGGTAAGGGGGATATTAACTAATCTATGGATCATATTGTTGTATGCTGCCAGCTCTGTTTGTATGGGGGCATTATGTGAAGGGCATTAAACTAAACCATTTAGAAACACTTGAAATAAATAGATTTAAAAATTCAGATAACCTACTAAATGATCAATTAGATATAAATAACCCACCTTTATTAAATCTCTTTCCTAGTTTTCTCTGAGGTAATCCCGGTAATGATACTGTCTTATTGTTATCTGATTAATATCATAATTACTTAAGTACCCTTATTTACTTTAAATAGTTTATTTTGTTATGTTATTGATGTATTTTGTTAATTACTTTGTTTGGTTAAATTACTTCGCATATATATTGGACACCGAATTGTAAATTAGTAACATTTGAAAAAGAAGTTGTACTTCAAAACGTGTTATGTGTAGTGTTTTTAATTTTTTAATTTTTATTTTTTTAAAATAAAAGTTTTGTGAAAATCTACCATATTTGGTTTTACTCATTTAAGATAATATTAATTTTTATCAAGTAAAGGCCGAAACAATAAATAAAATAAATTATGTTCTATTAAAACAATAAATTTTATTTAGATCATATTCTAACTGAATAAGTGGCTACAACTTTAAATTCATAATGATAGTGATCATGAAAAAACTGGAATATTTAGATAAATGAAAT